TTAAGGACTGGTTATAGGATCTGCCCACTGTTGATTCGCACTACTGCCTACAAAGACACAAAGTTCCTTCACCCAGGCACAACCATCTCCCAACTCTATCAGGAATATCAACAGGCAGCTGCAACTGCTGAAGTTGACGCTCTGCCAATCAAGGCGAGGAGGTTTCAGGACCTTCGAAACATGTCATGCCCTTCGAGTGTCATCAGCTTTTTGACAATTTGTCACATAATTAGACACACACACACACACACACACACACACACACACACACACACACGCACACACACACACACACACACACACACACACACACACACACACACACACACACACACACACACACACACACACCAAGATGACTGAGAAAGGTTCAGGGGAGAAACTGATTTAAATGGAAAAGGGTTAGCTACAATTAAAAACACAGCAAAGAAGAGCTGGAGGGAGTAGTGAGGAGAGGCACATGCCTCCTCAGGGTTTGCTTTACTTGCCTTTTGTTTTATTTAGCTAAGAGTGATTTAAGTTGTAGCTTTTGAGTTTGCTATATTGAATTAAAGGGCCAACCACGGCCAAACTGCCCTCTGTTTCCTGAGTCTCTGTATGCTCCTCTAGCATTTTAAACTGTTAGTGGCTGACCCAGCCCCATGGTCTGTCACAGTAATGCGGAAAAGAGAAGTGCACTGTTTTGCCTAAGTCACTTACTCCAGAAGTAATAAAGGCCTAAGTCAGGTTTCAAATTGCCTAAGTCACAACAACATGTTCGTAATTGGCCTAAGTCATCTAATCCTCTTATTTTACACAATTGACAGACAGTGTTATTTGTATGTCAATAGTCATATATTGTCATAACCTTTTTGTGTGAAATAATTCATATATATCATATATTCTATATTTGGTTACGTTTTTTCTGTTTTTTGAAAAACTTTCAAATATGACTTAGGCCATTAGTTTAAGAAGGTGACGCAGTGCTATATCATGCCTCACAGGAATGAGATCCTTTCAGCACAACCAACAACGAGCTCTTGCACTACTCGATGATGAGTAACGTTCAAAGATGTATATCTGTAGAATTCTGTTATTGCATACCAGGTGGTTGCTGGGTTAGATTATATTTATTTCATTATAGTATATTCCCCTCATAGCTGCAGGCTTGGGGGGGGAAAGCTCATTGTCGCTGCCTCAAAGACCTAGACACAGCAGTCTTGATAGGTAGTATATTCCCCTCAAAGCCACGGTGCTGGGGGGGGGGGTTGGCACTGGTCACTTCCAGGCCTACACATAGCAGTCCCTCTTGGTAGTATATTCCCCTCAAAGCCGTGGTGCTTAAGGGGAATGGCTTTTCGGGCTGTTCCCGGGCCTTCACATAGCAGTCACTAGGTAGTATATTCCCCTCAAAGCCGCGGTGCTGGGGGGGGGCGGTTGGCACTGGTCACTTCCAGGCCTACACATAGCAGTCTCTCTTGGTAGTATATTCCCCTCAAAGCCGTGGTGCTTAAGGGGGATGGCTTTTCGGGCTGTTCCCGGGCCTTCACATAGCAGTTTCATTAGGTAGCATATATAGGTAGTATATTCCTCTCAAAGCCGCTGTGCTCAGGGAAGAATCGGCTCTGGGCTATTCCTCAGGCCTACACATAGCAGTCTCAATTAGTAGTATATTCCCCTTAAAGCCGCTGTGCTTAGGGGGAATGGCCACATGGCAGCTCGCCAGGCCCTCTACTTATCAGTCTTACATCACCAGCGTCAGGCTCGGCTACGCAGTTTTGGGGGATAGTATCTAATCTCCACGCAGTTTTGGGGGTTAGTTATTTAATCATCACTCATCGTGCTATGGAGTGATGATGCCCGAGCCTAGTCGCCAAACTCAACTATATGCTGCTTCTAATAAACATGTTAAAGGAACACGTGAGTTGTCTGACTGAAATGGGGCGAAGCCTGCGAGCTAGTTCAGGCAGTCAACTCGAGCACTTATGCTGCATTCATACATAACGCCCCCTTGCCACTCTACAACCAACCAAACAGACTCTCCTTAATACGCCGCTCTATTTAACCTGCCAGATCTCTCTCCATGCATTGCTTGCTGCTGCTATTGCTGCAGCTACCTCTACGTCGCTGCTGCTTGCCTGCCCCACCACCACCCCAGCTTCCACCCCAGCTTCCACCTGTAGGCTCGGGGGTTAGTTATTTAATCATCACTCATCGTGCTATGTATATCTATGGAGTGATGATGCCCGAGCCTAGTCGCCAAACTCAACTATATGCTGCTTCTAATAAACATGTTAAAGGAGACCTATCATGCTATATTTAAATGATATAGTGTATGACCATACCTATATAAGGTATATTTATACATTTTATTTTTCAAAATACCAAACAGATCATTTTTTAGCCATGCCTCGTTTCGCTCATTTTCACTCTATTCCAAGCCTGTCTTTGAAAATTCTGAGCAGCAGCTGACCACCCCCCCCCCCCCCCCCCCTGCAGAAGCGGGGGGCATGAGCCGGCGAGAGTCACGTTACCATGCTTGCTGTGATTACGAGTGTGGAATAAACATGTCATCTCAGAGCAATGCATGTGTTCAAGCATATTATCAATTTGATCCAGAAACTGACCCTGAAGCAGCGGAGGGTTTGGTGGAGGTGCAAACATCTCGGTTGCAGCAGGACGTTTCTGAATGGTTAGTTGACAAGCTGTGCTAAATTCCAGTAAAGTCTTTTTTTTTTTGTTGTGTTCTCAAAAAATAAAGACTAAGACTTTACTGGAATTTAGCACAGTAATCAAAACAAGGAAAACAAATATACTCTTTCGAGGAAAACTAGCAAGTGATCAATGAGGTAGATCCGTGGGAAGTCCGTGAGGTAATCAGGAACGTGGGTCATAGTAAGACAACGAACTGACAATGAACAGGAGGAAGCTACCACAATATATACACAGGTAAAGGGGACACAGGTGGAAACAATCAGGGCGGGGAAAACATTCAAGGACGCAGGAGACAGAAGGGGGCGGGGAGCGTGGAGGCCTGAAATGAGAGGGATGATTAATTAAGGGAATAAACATAAAGCACAGGGCAAAGGGACATGACAAAACTAACATAAAGAATAAACTTTCACTATTAGTTTCCTAGACATGACATTGCGCTACGATGCCTTCTGAACCGGGGAGAATGTGTGCTGCATGAAGATACCACAGGTAACATTTTTGATACCTTCACTAAGTTGTCTGTTTAGAGAATAGATTTTTAATATGTCATTCAATATATGTTTATCACACTAGGTGTCAAGACGGATGCAGGAACTTGAGGACTCTGTAACCTGTATGGTGGACCATCCTGGATTGGAGCCTGTGTGCCTGAATATGTTCTCCCTGCAGAATGCATTGAATATTTACAGAGCTGAACATGGTGGACTACAGTTGAGGCAAATAAAGCAGTGAGTGGTTTGTTTGGACTGAAATTGTAAAACAAATGCTAATATTGTTCATGGAAATAAATACTGGTGTATATGGCTTTATGCAATCTTTCATTGTACATGTACTATTATATATATTATTACACAGCAATGGCATAACACACCCATGTGTACGACAAAAAAAGTCCACACACAACCTTATGCTTTTGAAATCAGAATATTCTTTACCCATCCAAACATGAATAATCACGACACATTTGATATCAACTCGGAACTTTGTCAAAATCAACGGTTCTTTGAACCCATAAAAAAAAAAACTAAATGTACTTGTATTTTGTATAAATGACACTAAATATATTTTTTAATGATTTCAGGCGTCACAGGTATCTAGCCCAGTGGTTCCCAAACTTGTGCCCAAGGCACACCAAAGGACAAGTAAAAATCTCAAGGCACACCTATTGTGCAAAATAGCCCTTATAACACGTGTTATCACTCATATCATGTAAAATATCTGTAAATGTGCATAATTATTTACTAATGCCAAATAAAATGACAATACAAATAAAATATATTACTATACTATACTATATTACTCATGAAATATTTATTAACGAAATATTTCAGAAACTAATTTGAAACTTTATCAAATTAGGCTTCATCAAAGCAGCAACACACTCATTTAAACCAGACAGGGTCACAAAATTAAAAATGAGACAAAGGAAACTCAGCAGAAATTCAGCACAGAGAACTGTCAATGCAAGGAAGCTGCATGGCACATGCACATGGTCCTGAAATTATAAATGTAACATTTCAGCAATCAGCATTGAAACATGTGCTATTGTAAATATGTTGCCGACTTACAAATTAGTGAGATACATGTGCCTGTCGGGGCTTGCAGAATTTGTTAATCCTTGGTGGCACTGAAGAGAGGGCCACTCGCAAGTCCTGTTCAACAGAGAGCCGTGACCTCCTGTTGTTCTTCATGTAAACCAGAGTAGAGAACGCCAACTCCAGAGATGGTGTCGTTACTAAAAAAAAAAATATATATTACATATTACTTTAAAAAAAAAAAGAAGTATATTACACTACTTCGTTACTATCTACATAAAGTAACTCGTTACTTTACTCGCCGAGCACGTACGAACTGCGCATGCGTGAGTGGCAATACCTTTCCTTACCAGCAGGCGGCGGTAGTGTGTATTTGTCATTCAAAACAGGCAACAACCGGAAGACAGAGAAGAAGAACAGACTGCGTGATATAAACAAACAACAAATAGCGTGTGCGATAGCTTCACGTTAGCATGTGTTCTTTGCAGGTGTTTGTTGAGGTTTGACGTGGTGTTTACAGCAGTGGATAACAGCTTCTGGCCTGAACAGTTTGCACCTCACCGTCACATTCCTGTCTATTCTTCGGACGAACTCAAAATAATGAGCATACCTCCACCCCTCGAGAGTTATCGCTGACTCAGCCATGTTTATGCAGCACTGCACGTGGAGATGTGGATGCACAAGTCGCGCAGATTACGTACATATAAACCTACAAAGTACTGATATAGTAAATTAAAAAATAATTATTTTTGTGTAGTTGTATATTGCAATAATAACGTATGGTTGTCACAAAATCCCACGGCACACCGTTTGGGAACCACTGATCTAGCCTTTGTGAGCTGGTGCTGGGGCTTCCTTGGACGCAGGATCAGAGTGGTGATTCCGGCCTGCGTTGTCCTCAGGATTCGCAGGGAGTTTCCTGATCCGCGAAATGTCTATGTTGGGTTCAGACAGTCAAATTGAACCGTGTAGCATACCCGGAGATGACCTCCTCCCTGTCAGGTCGCTCATATTGGGAACACAGGTCCTCTGGGATGGGTATCTTCAGAAGCGCCTGTGTGAATGGTGCAGGGTCCACAAAGACTTGGTCGAAGATGAGGTCCATCAAGTTGGCCACGTAGCCTGTGCAATGTTAAAAAAAGCACAACAAAAAATGTGGTTTACATTAGTATATGCATGTAAAAAACTGAAAGTTCTTTCTAATTTTATATTTGTAAATAGTTGTATAATAAATATTTTAAACACTTACGGAATGTGGGGTCAGTCTTTACTGGTTTTGCTCTGCATTCTCCCTTCCTGGCCTTTGGGAACTGCAGTTTATACAGAGGGTTTCCAGTGGATGTAGTGGCTTGTGCACGCTCAGCATTTTCATTGTAGTGCAGGGCTGCCAGGTACAGTCTTTCATTTCCGCCATGAGAAAAAAAAAAATGGAAATCATAGCAAAGGATGTACAAATTGTCACTAATTAGTAAGTAACTATGGTTTATTTTACCTGCACAACATTCCAAGAAATGGAAACACAACATTCTTTGGAGCAAAGCGCAGGATGACGGCATGGAATGACTCAAAGATGAAGTCTGGTGGTGTGGGCTGAGTTTGGCCACAGCTTTCAAAATCCTCTTGGTTGAGAGAATTGTCTCCAGCTTGTGAAAGGCCGGCGTTCCTAAGAATTTGAAAATCAAAGTCATATTTGAATTGTCATGCTTTATAGATTGTGTCTGACAACATCCTGTATTCAATAGTTGTCCCTTACAAATATTTATAGAGGAGTAATGTAATATGGTTTATGAACAACATACCTGCAGCCATCCATTGGTATTGCGCAATGCACAGTGGATGAAGGCACTTAGGGAACAGGGGGTCATCATGAGAGTGGATATCCTGCACGTGGTTCAGGATGGAAGTCCATTTGGCCACTCTCTCAGGCCCGGTGGTGGAGGTTGCTGCAGTCCAGTATATGTGGTTTCTTATACTCTTCACCCACCCTCGAAGTTTTTCGCAGTCCTTCTTTTTTGCAGCCTTCTCCAGTTGCTTAGAAATCCCTAATAAATACATTTAACATGTAGTTAATATACATACAAGTTTACTCAAAATATTATTATACTGATGTGATTGTAGGAAGCCGGGTTTGTGTCTAAATAAAATAATGATTGTATTTACAATCGATTTATTTACATAGAAATTAATATAAAGAAAAATACCTTTTTCTATGTGCCACACATCAAAGAATTGGGTGATGCTGCTTTCCCTTAGGAATTTCTGAATTTGCAGATGTCTGTCCGTGACAATACAGTCCAGAGTCACACCACGTTCCTTTAACAACTCCAGACTCCTTTTCAGGCCCTCTAACTCCATGTGGTAGCTTCCACCGACCTCATTGCTCCGTTATGACACATACAAATAACCATTGATACACACATTTTAAATATAACGTGCAAACAGTGTTAAAGAAAAAAACATTGATATTTCATTTCACCCCACTTACCTGAACCAACTGGAGGTCAACGACTTTGTTGTTCTTCAGGTCCATCATTCTTTCACACACAGTGACGTCACGAGCTACCCACAATGCAACACGCGCCATATAAATATATATAAATGCGCCATTTTCCTGGAGGTGCTAATATCCTGGAAGTGCAAATATAAACAGCTAGCTAACTAGCCAGGCAGAGCGCAGTAGGTTTTTTTTCTGAATTAACGACCGAAGAAATCGCTACATGTCTTCGGATTACATCTCTGGACTTGAGGGGTGTGCTCTAAGTCGTTACCAGCGTAAACTAGAGCTGTGTGGGTTGTTACAGACTGCCTGCAGATGTATGGAAAAACGACAGTGGCCTTCGTCGATTTTGGCTGCATCTACGTCTAATTTCTGGAAACACCAGGTGAATACCCCACTTGTCACAATAATATTATCATGCCATTGCATATATGTGGTATTTTAGAGTTGACTAGATATTGATTAAGGCAATAGACTATGATATTCAGTACAGGAAGCTTAGCAACACCAAGACGGTGTACGGCTGCTTGCACCTCGCGTAAAACGGCGCATACCGGAAGTACGGTGTCGCGCTCGGCCCAATACCCGTATGTGTGTGTGAAAGAATAGTGTAGCTTCCGAAGTTTGCAGAGTGGCCTGTGAAAATATGTTTTACAGTAATTACTAGGGATGCACGATATTGGTTTTTTGAAACCGATACCGATAACTTCCTGCTTCTCAAGACCGATACCGATAATAATATAATATATATTAAATGTACGTACCTGTAGTTTTTGCACACCTGGTGGTAAAAAAAGACTAGTAGTGAGCAAATGACATGAGCATTACTACTATGAACTAAACAAAGCCAAGAACAGTTTTGACTCTCGTCAAGCGCCATCATTTCTATGATGAAGTTAGAGATCGTTTTAGCCCTGGGGTCGTCTCTGGCAAACTTCTTGCCTTTTTTAAAAGCCTCGTCGATAGGTAAAAGCCCCGGTGCCTTTGCAGCTGGCTTTGGATTCACCGCTAGTTTAGCAGCGCAGGCGTCTTCTTACGCTTTTAACACACCGTCGTAGCGATGGCGATGTTTCAGGTGACAAATCAGGTTGGAAGTATTATAGCTCGTTGCCTTTTTCCCTCCTCGTGGAACTTCTGCATTGCATTTGTTAATGCATTTGTATTTGCAAGCGAACTATCTAACTCTGAAACTTTGAAATAGTCCCATACTACCGACGACATGTTTGTTTACTGTCCTGGCTTCACTGCCGCACACCATTTACGTCACAGCCAGGCATGAGTTAGGGAGCGCTGGATTTGTGAAAAACTCCCCTCTTCCTAAACCACTAATACCACAGTACTGGCAAAACGGGAGGAGCCGAGTGAAAAACAAGCGCCCCTCATCCCAATCAACCCATACCGCAGTATTTTTTTCTTTTTTTTTACCCAAAAAATATATTGTATATTATCGGGGCTATTAATACTGTTATCGGGTTTATCGGGATGACGTCATAATTCCTAATATTGGACCGATAATTATCGTGTACCACTAGTAATTACTTTTCTCTGCGGATGGTGAATTTGTATTTTTGCTTGCAGTGTTTAGCATATGTTTTTCAGGAACCATTAATTGAACAAATCACACATAGTGAAACCCCTTTCTGAAATGTAAAATGTGAATTATATAAAAAATACATACCTGGAGAGTCAGCCCTCATATCACCACCAAATATCCCTTTCTCCTCTGCATGGAGCTTCTGTAGCATGCCTTCCTGTGATTTTTACCAGTAAGAAACAATCATTGGCTCAATGAACATCCTGGCATGCCTTCGGAAGGTGTTGTATTTGCATAGCTGCATATTCATTGCTTTGAAGACCTAATGGTTGAAAGAAAACCGCAAGAATACATTTTCATCTCAAAGATCACCTGTAGATTTGTTGACGAGTCGATGAGGAGAACCTGGAAAGTGCAAATGAGCTGCCCTTTTTTTAAACAAGGAAAGAGCTGAACATGTCATTAGGGGTGCTTACTCTACAGTGCCCCTTTCACATCTCTTCTCTTTCTCCACACCACCCTCCCAAAAGAGCTTTACATATTAGCATGGGTCGTTACCTAACAGTGCCCTATTCCCACATTTTCTCACTCTTGTTACCTTGTCCTATCTTATTCAACAACAACATTTGCATTTTCAAACATTGGCAAAACAATCTTCTGCAGTTAATTTACCTTTGAAAGTTTGTAGAAAGATGCTCCGTTGACATATGTTGCAACTGATAGCTGCAGGTTTCCAACTGGAGTACTCCCAAGAACAGGCTGGCTATTCCAGTTTCTTGTAAACTGACAATGGGGGCACAGCTGCTGCACTGATATGAATGTACCGATCCTTCTGGTTTGTACATCACACACACGCTTGCACACAGGACATGATTCAAAAAGCTCCATGAGGCAGGTCTCATACACGATGTATGTGTTGATCGTCTGGGGGGGGTTTTGTTCTTGACCACTAAAACAAAAAAATAGAAGTTACGATCCATCACACAGATTGTTGCTTTTGAGATCTTTGGTGTTTCCCTATTATCAATGTTTGAATTATATACAGCAAAAAATACAATACATAGACAAACTCACACATAGTGATATTTCAGTAACTTACGACATGGCTGTTGTTTCTGTAGCATTTGTTATGGATTCTGCTGGATCATAAGTTGCATCCTGGCCTTCGGAAATCACCAAAGAAGAGCTTCCCTCAAATGGATCTTCGTATTCCTCTTCAAGATCCACACAGGCCTCTTTGGTGGTCTCTTTAAGGGGGTGGATGTTAAAAAGGGCACTGGCACTTCCAACGGAAGTGTTTCGACACCAACGCTTCTGCAGGGAATTTTAGCCTGGACAGCTGTAACATAATTGTATTTGACATTCAAAACAAAACAAAAGATAAAACAAAAATATTTTTACAACAATTAGAAGCACACAAATTAAAGGCTACAACATCAGAATGTCAAGATGTATCCAAAGAACATTTGAAAAACGTGCTTCTAACCTGTACTTCGATGTGAACCAAGAGTCCTCGAGGATAGCTGTGTACGAACAGTACGGTACTTGGGTGGGTCAGTCTGACATGCAAAATCTATCATCACAGGTAATCTGCTGGTAGCATGTGAGGTGCTGGCCTGTAAAGAAGAAAACATAGTTAGAACAAAATCATCTCAACTTAGTATTCAGGATGAGAAAATACTATTTGGATAAATATAGTCTGAAATCCCAAAAGATGGGGGCTAAAACTCTCTATTTAGCAAAGCTCTTTGCTTAGCCTTTTTCAATCTGAGTTAGTTTTGAACCGTAACGTGCATGCTGTGTTTCTGACTCAATACAGATGATGTGTTGGAGAGGGGCTGAGCTCAGTAGACTGACTGTAATGAGTGCTAGCCACTAATTAGCCTGTTGCTAGAGGTAAGGCCTCGTCAACAACAACAGACCAACGGGGCTTTAGCTCCGTTTTACTCGTGGTGTGTGTCCCCCCTCGCATACATACACAGTGTTGTATCCTAACACACCCCCATTTACATTAATGTGCGCAAACAAGTAAACATACAAAATCTTTTACATATAACGCTGCAAAAAACGGCATGTCTCATTAGCGTAGCTTAGCTTACAGATCGATGAAATCTGATCGTTCTTACAGACTACAATCACAAAAGCTTTTACATATAACGCTGGAAAAAACGGCACTTGCCTACAGAAGATTACGTTTGTTATTATAACTTACTCAATATGATTTTAGAAGATACAAAATACTAATAAATAGGAGAATAAATACTTGTGTTATCGGCTAGGGCGTGGCTTTACAGCCTTCACACAGATCGCCATTACGGCAGTATGTCTGAACATGTTAGCAAATGCCTGATAATTAAAATAAAAGACAAAGCAAAGACTGCGGAGCGTACAAAATAAAATGTTAACAAAACATATAAACACCTAACCGATTACTATTCGGGTTTGAGGCGACATTGATACGGCGAAGCGACATGCTACATGCTACATACTACATGCTACATACTACAAGCTAGAGATCGCTTTATCAGGAAAAACACCGCTAAATAAAAACTTACAGCTTCAAAATTGGATGTGTCCTCACTGGCCTGGTCCCGGATGGTTGGTATTGATCCCGGGTTTAGCATTAGTTTGGAGGCATATCCGTGTTGGACTTGAGAGAAGTTCATAAACATGTCCGTCGTAAAATGTTTGGAACACACCAACAGAAATCTGCCATGGTCTTCTGGCACATGTCCCTTGAAAATGAAGTCTAGCCACAGATTATTTTCTTTTTCCACTGATGGCATTGCATGCTGTCCCCTTTCTCGAGTCTTGCAGCCAACAACAGCACAGCGTTTAACTGGCTTAAACATCCTAGCAAGAGCAGACAAAAACACAGATGTGACTGGGGTTGATTTAGCCTGCCGATAGCCTATATCTCTGGCCTATATGCGAATGAGAGGTTTGGCAATGCACGTAGCCGTGGCTCATTCCCCTGATAGGTGGAGAGTTGACCAATAAGCGGAGCACGTCTTTGTGACGTAGAAAAGTATTGAAATCTGGATCCGTTTTTTTCAGATCCGTTGCAGCCCCTTTTTTAGAGATTTGGCTAAGGAGGAAAATAGAGAGGGTTGTGTTTTCTGACACTTGGTGAGTTCCCTGGAACACCGGGGACACATATTCATGTATAAAAGACGTACAAAGGTGCATTTTGCATGATAGGTCATGCACGTGAGTTGTCTGACTGAAATGTGGTCTACTTCGCTTGGTGCAGAATAATAGCTATAGATGCCCTCAAGCAAATCCCCAACTGTGAGTTTACTTGCAACAGTAGGTGCAATGTTGAAATAGGGCTGCTTACGCCATATGGCCTATATATGAGAATTGGCACATTGAGAGTGAAAAATGTGAAAAGCATGACATTCTGGATAATTTCTCTTGTCCTCTCTCACTGCCCTTCCTCCCTCAGCCATCCCTTTCTGTCACTGGGTGTGAACGCCAGAGGCTACAGTATATAAGATGAATGTATTGCTTTAAGCTGTCAATTCACCAACACGAAAGTAGAAAAATGACAGAATCCAATTGGTTTCTTTAGCTCTCTACTGTGATTACCTGCATCAATGCTGATTTATTTTCTCCAGAAGAAGAATCAATTCATGGAGGACAGCTTGACATTCCTCTGTTATTGAGGCTTCAAGATCAATATAAGACAAACATGTGACATTTGAATAGCTACTCCACCCTGAGACATAAAACATGATACAAGAATTATAATGAAATGTACCAATTATATTTCACATTTGAAAAATATATACTACAATGTACAAACATTGAAACAAATAATAACATAAAATGTATCTATACTTTGATATAATAACGCGAGTCTGTTACCATGTTATCTCACAGTTGGGTTGCTATGGGGGTGTATGCAGTATACACACACACACACACACACACACACACACACACACACACACACACACACACACACACACACACACACACACACACACACACACACACACACACACACAGACACACACACACACACATTGACTCTTGGCTCTGGGTGCTCTGGTTTCATGACCTACTAAAAGGTGGAGCATTATTGAATCTTTATTCTGGAGAGACTGTGCATTTGTAAGATCATTTGATAATTGAATATCAACAACTTTGAACAGAATCAGGTTGAGACAATGAGCTGTCACTGTTATCATTCTACAATTTAGGTATGCTTATTCTAATGAATTCATTTGAGAAATTAAAAAAACTAAATTGAAGTCCTTGTACGCCCATCTACTTCCGGTCCATGGGACCTTATTTCGGAAAAATTATGCATTGAAGTCAATGAGGAGAGAAAACTTATCTTTCGATCCCGTTTGAATTGTGCCATGAATTACACATATGACGTTTGTCAATCTTAAACAATAATTTCCACGTCAAAAAAGTCAGTTTGTCGTAAAACTGTTGAAATATAAGACTATGAAAAATACGTAACTAGAAAGACTACAAATCCCAGAGTGGCGTAAGTGATGTCATAACTGTTTTCCTCCACTAAGAGATAGCTAAGATCAGCGCCATATAGATAGAATCTATCTATATGGCGCTGGCTAAGATAAGATAACTTTAACAAGATGCCTGTGTGCTTAGTACCAGGTTGTTATCATACCAGCAATGGGTAGTGATGGCAGTTTGACACTGAAGCTTCGAACGGAGCTTCAACCCTGGACTTCCTATTCCATAGAAGCAGTGCTTCGAAGCTTGCTTCAAATCACGTGACATATGACGTCCGAAGCAGCAACTGCTTCAAATCACGTGACATGTGACGTCCGAAGCAGCAACTGCTTCATTTCCTGAATGAATCACTTGACTGGTTCGCGGTCCATTCACGCGATTCAATGCACTGCCTCGTCTCGATTCTGACAGGTGACAGGTTGAAAAAGTTTCAAATTTGAGTGCTTCAACACTTTATGACCGCTCTAAACAATGCACAATGTGTGGGTTGTTGTCGTAGTTTGCGTTGTTGCTGTTGAGTTGTTGTTGGTATTGCATTTGATATCATTATAGAGCAAGCCAGGAAGAAAGATAGGTCGTTCTGCACTCTCTAGTCTCTTCTCAATAACCCAATACACACAATTATCAATCTTTAATTGCAAATAGAACATGATATTCAGTCTTAGTGTGTGTGACACTGTGTGTGTGTGTGTGTGCATCGAATATTTTTCAAGGCAAAGATACGTTAAACCCACTGCAGCCTTGCACTTCGCCAGGAGAGGTCGCTGTAACTGAAGCTTCGAGAAATGAACCTATTTCCGACACAATTGTCCAAGTGGTTCGATGCTTCATTCAAAGCTTCATTTTGCCATTGTCACTGTCACTACCCGATCTGCAGCTCTGCCCGATCTGCAGTGCGCATGTGCGAGATGGTCCGCCATATTGGACAACTCCGGACGGCATCCCAAGTAGGACAACATTGACAAAGTGGCTTTTGGCAAAGCTCAAAAGGAAAACTCGAGAGAGATGAGTTATTGTTATTACAACGTGACTTCACTATTATTTAACAACTCTTTTTATTGGGTTCTTTTATTTGGGGTTAAGTACATTGTCAGAATAAGTGAGAAATGAATGTAACTTCTGTTAGACAGCCATATGCCATACATTTTTGCACACATTCACAGTAAATATGTATTCAGTATGATAGCTGTCTAACAGAAGTTAAATCCATTTCTCACTTATTCTGACAATGTACTTAACCCCAAATAAAAGAACCCAATAAAAAGAGTTGTTAAATAATAGTGAAGTCATGTCGTAATAACAATAACTCATCTCTCTCGAGTTTTATTTTTAAGCTTTGCTAAAAGCCACTGTATCAAGTGTCCATCTTGGGTTGCCGTCCGGAGTTGTCCAATATGGCGGACCATCTCGCACATGCGCACTGCAGATCGGGCAGAGCTGCAGATCGGGTAGTGACAGTCACTACCCGATCCGTCTCCCTGCCCGATCGGTACTGCCCGATGGTTTAGCAAAACTTTTGTGAAAACACAAATGTACTCATGTGATCGAATTGTTTTGGTGTTTTAGATTTGGTTACCAAAGTCTTAGGATCACAAAAGCAGTGAAATATTTGAATTACACTGTATATACATTTGTTATTCATGTCTAAAATGAAAAAAATTAAATTCGAATTTTGAGTAGAATAGGTGTTTATCACTCTACTTTCACCACAGCAGGGACTGAGATACATTAGGA